TACCTTCTGCGTGCAGATATTAACCAGGATATTCTGCACAGGTGAACAGCCGGAGGCATTTCTTTTTTACTGAGCACTGTTATATGCCTCATCAAAGCTGGATAGCAACCTGACACTTTCTTTTCCCAACAGGACAAGGTGGAGAAGAAGCTGTCCCAGATGATCTTGGACAAGAAGTTCAGTGGTAAGATCTTCTGCTGAGCACTGGCAATGAGCAAGAAAATGGCCATGTCATGCTGGGAAAATATGAAGCACTGAAGGGCCTTATATGAACTCTGGCTAATTGTTTTTACCTTTATGATTTTTTTCGTTGCTGCGCTTTTCACTTCCGTGAAAAGAAGTAGCCTGTAGTTTACTAAAGTGCCAACATCTCATAAACATCATATTAAAAAAAATCTATAGAAGTTTTCTGCTAGGAAACTATAACCATTAAAGTACTCCTGTTAGATTCATTGATATAAGTGGAATCCAATGACATTCAGTTAGCAGAATCTGTGCAGCCAGTTAAATGTGTGGTTACTGTATTTATGCACATAACTTACACCCTTGCATAATTTGCACACCTCTAATATTTTGCCAGTTTTTCAGAAAAAAAAAGAAAAGCCAGCTGGCCGGCGCGCGCATCTTAGGATTTTTCAATGCTTCGGCCAGGTGCGGGCCTTGCCGAGCAGACGAGCGCAGTCAAAGTTCCTTCTTCCAAAGACTTCCTCCGAGCTAGGGTCCCTAGAATACTGCACCCGAACACAAACCTCTTGACAGGTCACCGGTACCGCTCGTTCTTTTGCGTTCTCTTAACTCCCAGTCTCTACCAACGCAATAATGGCAAGATTGCATACCTGCCAACTCTTCCAATTTTCCTGTAAAAATGTAAGAATTTCGAGAGCGCGTACTTTTTTACGAATCTTGCCTGAAATTTACAAAAAATATTTAATTTCTGATAAAAAAAGTAAAGTTAGTAAAATAGCGTGGCATCCGCGATTAACTACGGTGCATTGCTGTAGCTGGTTGTGGAAGCCACAAAAACTGTGCTATATTCCGCCACCAGGAGAAAACTATGTGTATTGGTGTTATCATCACATACTTGCGGAGTCTCCCGCACTGTCTGGAAGACTCCCGGATTGTAACCGTTTCTTCCATGTGTAGGGTTGCCATTAAAATCTCCCGAAAATCGAAATGTGTGTGCGAGATCTGGTGCATTGACAAGAATGCCGGCCAGTTTGTTGCAGGCTTTTTGCGAGTTCACCGCATTATAAATAAACTTAAGAGGCGTTCATCTAAACTTACAGTAGTGTCTCAGGGATGCGAAACCGTGACAGGCATTCGTGAAATTCCCCTGCCACATTCATTTGTTCATTGGGCCGAAATTCGTTTGTTTAGAACTTTTCTTAATCGCGGCGTGTGCTATGAACTTTCTTACCGAAACCATCGAAAAAAGGCCGATCGAGAGCAGCGTGCTCGAAGCTTCGGAAGTACGTGTGCGACCAGCACATGCACCGTCTTCTACAGCTGCGACTATGTTTCCCAATTGGACTTGGCGATCAGTGATTCCCACTAGACCGCACATGACCGAATCTGACTGGTTAAGGTATGCGCTAATTCTTTCAAAATGAACAAGTACACTTGGCTGGTGCTCCAATTTATTTCTTTTTTTATGTATATACTGCGCTCGTTAGAACTGTGACACAATATTTTGTATGCGCTCACGAAATCCCCACGTAATGTGCACACCCCCTTCTCGAGGCTCCAAAATCGCTAAAAAGGTGCGCAAATTATGCGAGTAAATACGGTAAATCTATTCTTTGATAGTTCACTTCAAAATAATGGTGTCATACTAAAGATCAGTTCATGAATTTATGTAATAACTGGAGTTTTCATCATCCTAGCGTGACAATACAACACTGTCTCCACATTACCTTACCCAAGTATGCATTGATGATTTCATAGTCTCATCATAACTTTGTTTTGTTTTTTAAAAACAACCGTGAGGTTGTTTTTTCTGCCTCCTAGTTACCTCTCCTTTGCTTTTATTTCTGCTTAAAGGGGTTTTGAAATGTTTCCCGAAAATTTTCATCTACGTGAGCATTCAGAATCTTGACCCTTCATGCAATACTTAGCCTTCCATGCAGAATCTTGGCCTTTCATGCCAGAAAGAGCACTAGGTGTCACTCCTGCTGTCGCTGCGGAAACACCGAGCAATGTTATTGTGACGAAAAAACGTAATGTGTACTGGCAAAGTTTAGTGCGTGCAGTGTTCTACGCCTTAGTTCTAGGCGCTCTGTTGCGTCAAAAACATGCATGCACGTCAGTTTTTTGAAAACCGGCCTCTGTTTTAATGTTACTTAACAGCTTTGATTCGTGGAAGACATGCACGCTGGAATTTCTTGCTGTGTACTGTGGAAGTGTTCTGCAGAGCGTCTGGGACTAAAGCACGGAATCCGGCGATCGCTGAGCACTGCCAGTACAAATTGCGCGTTTTCATCGCAATAGTATCATTGTTCGGTGTTTTCGTGGCAATAGCAGAAGTGACACATTGCGCTTCGCCTGGGATTCTGGTGCGCGCGCTGTTAAAAAGAGCGAGCAAGCAAGCTGACGGGTAAAAAAGGGCACGCATGTGCATTGCGCGCTCTTGAGCTTTGCAAGCAGCCATCAGAAGGAGCCACAGTGCTAGTTCACACAGGCCCCCGTAGTTCGCAAAATTTTGACCGCCACTGTACTTGAAAGTGAAACCAAGCAGATCACTTGCAGTTCTTGTACAGAATACAACTCAAAGTGCAAAAATTGCTGTTATGTTTTTTTTTTTCCTAGGTTTCTAGTTTAAAAAATAATAAATGTAATATTTTGAAGCTATTTTAGAACAGCTAGCGCTGTGTTTTTAACATCTCTTAGCATGACGTCACATATCAGTGCCTACGGTGGCCAGCAGTGCTGCATGGTTGTTTAGGAGCAGAATAAGTACATGATTTCAGACGGACATCAATAAATATACACTGGGTATTGTGCCAAAATATTTTGGAATCTTTATTTAAGTGCAGAAAATTGCAATCAGGCAGCTTCATTTTCTTTTCATGGTCCCTTTCATGTTTGTTTTTTTTTCCAGAGCTATTCGTAGTCGTACTGTGCAATAGCTAATATAATAATTTTTTGCTTGCAGTGAAATTTTTGTTTTGGCTATTTTAAAACTAGGAGACCCTGTGTAATTGCACAGGAAGTGGCAGTCATGTTGTATAATTCCCTTTGAAGTATAAATGGTTATTAAATTGTTTCTCGCATCATTTAGTTACTATCTTCTTTTTCTCTAGGGATCCTTGATCAAGGGGCAGGTGTGCTAATCATTTTCGAAAACACCACTGTGGACAAGACCTATGAGGCTGCACTGGAGACGATCCAGAGTATGGGTCGTGTGGTGGACTCATTGTACCAGAAAGCCAAGAAGCTGTCCTAGGACTTGGTGCCTCTTTCTTGCCCCTTCCCTGCGCTTGACCCTTCCCCCCTCTTTTTCCCTTTTTTTATAGCCGCGCTGCCTCCTGGTCCAGTGTCGTCCCCCTGCCCTCTGTACATAACACCTCGCCAAGTTTACCTTCGTCCCGTCTGGCTCCTTTTTTGGAATCGAGTAAATCAATTCACAAGGAATGAAAGAGAGAAAAAGAAAATAAAGCAAAGTCTCCAAAAAGGATTGTTGTTTGTTGCATTGTCCTTAATTTTTAATTTACAAGGGATTGTAGTAACAATGCAGTGGCATTTGAGTAAGATAACTTGCACAGGTACAGGTAATTATTATGTCCAGGGTATATGTTTTCACACCAGTGGTAACAGAACTGTTGGGCATCAGAGTCCAACATGCAAGGTACCAGGTTTGATCCCGAATGCTGGTAGGACAGCCATCGATGGTCGGGGGGGGAGGGGGGCGCTCCCAAATTGCTGGCTTGGAACTAGGGTTGATGCTTCATCAGCATTATGCTTGCATAGCTGAATTGTTTAATAATGCCAATTCGATCCCCACATGGTATCTCATTTTCTGGTGCGTGTTACAAGCCCGCTCGTCGGCTTTCATCCTAATGGGCATTGAAGTTGTGGCGAAAAGAATTTAAGCCTTTTTAACTGATGTGTAGTGTACACACATCAGAGCTGTCACTGAGGCTTCACTTATTAATGTGGTATGCTGTGAATGTGCCTTACAAATAAATTGGTGGTAATAGTTATTCATTAATATTGACATGCTATGTATGAAAAAAGTGGAACAAAGGAAAAATGACATTTGACAAATTTTGCATACCGTTGCCGTGTAATTTTTTTTTCATGCAGTTTGTACTCTACATTACATTATATTGAGTCTGTATGTTTGCATACCATCTGTTTTGCAAAAAGATATATTCTGATGTTCTTGCATTCCATTCCATACACAAGGCAAGATCCCTAGTGCTACCTGCGAATTGCCAGAACTCTACAGAATTTTATTGGAAAAACCAAATGCCCTTGTCAAGGAGTGCTGGCAGATGGGGAAGGCAGGAGTAGAGACACGTGCACCCCTTGCTTGTCCTCTCACTTGTCCCATGCTGTAAATATGCAGCAAATGTGTATACTCGGGTTGCGTACATGACTTTAAGATCACTATCTGCCTCTGCGCAAGGCACATTATGCCTGTATTGCGTTGAAAAGCTTCTCAATTTTGCATTCGTAAACGGAGCAGCCAGCCCGTCTATAATATGTGCGGCTGTACGCGACAATGCTGTTCGAAACACCCGCTGAATTCAGATGCCACCTACCTTTTGAAAAGAATGCTCCTGATTTTAATAATATGTTGCTGCTACAATCGCTTGATCTTATTTTTTAACTGATTCGAGAGTCATAACTTTTGTCAGTTTTTTTTTTGTGCGTACTAATAAAAACAAAAGTACAAAACCTTGCAGGCATACTTTATGCTTGCAAGTTTGGACATGTCAAACTATCATCATCAATGAAAAAGACATTTTGTGACGTCAAGTATTAAGGCCAATGACGGCCGACGTTCTGGTCACGAGGGCTAACGTGCGGACGGTGCGGTCCGTTTTCGAGATTTGAAGCAACTGGCGGAAAACGCGGAACAAGACTGAAGATATTCAGGTAGCGTTGTTGATTTTATCACGGTCACTGCATTTCGTTTTCGTTGACATAGTTCGGATAGCGGACCGTAACCTAAATCTGGTAACTGGCTCGAAATAGTTCGCCACGAACCTAATCGGTGTCGGTTGTTTCACGAACCGCTGAATCTAGCCACCGCATGACCGTTTTTAAAGAATCTCGTTCTAAAGCGGAATGTAATCTGGTGTAACCTCATCATCTTCTCCTAGGAATGAGCTCTGTGCCGCAAAAACATGTTGTCTAGTGCCTTAGTTGTTTTTATCCCTTTTGCAGCATCTCTTCGGTGAAGAGCCCGGACCTTTAACGGGAGAACGCAATGTCGGAAGTGGATGCTACCCACTACAGCTTTTACGTCGACGAAAGCGATGAGAGCATTGTGATAAATGAGGAGAAGCTGAAAGCGTCGGGACTTCCATACATCCGACGTTACCGCACGAATAGCTGTAACAGCAGTGCAGCCAGCAGCGCGACTCCTGAAACTAATCGTCTGAACGACTATGTGGATGATTCGCTGCTCGGAACCGAGTTGTCGGCGCACGGCAGTGGTTCTTCAGCCGACGATTGTATCGACGGTTTCAATAAATTGAGGCTTTCCAACGTCGACTGCGACAAAGAAAACAGGAAGCCTTCGAAGCCGGAACGCGTCTCGCGCGCCTTCTACGAGAAATGCGGGCAATCCGCGAGCCAGAGCGAAAGCACGGATGCCTGCGCCGAGCCTGAAGAAGATATTCTGGCGCCATATTTCAAGCTACAGCAGTGTGAGACAGTGACAGGTCAAGAGGCCACGGAAGAGAAAAGTAAGCAGAGGTCTAGTGAAGCGCAGCTACGCCATGAGAACAGCAGTATAGTGATGACCGAACCTCTCGCTATGTCCACACCGCGCCCTTCTAAATCTTCGGCGCAAAACGTGCCGTACCGGTGCTCAGAGACAGCGGAAGCCGTCGCTCCGCAAAAACCCTTCACAGAAATTCAAGAAATTTCCTGCAATGAAGACCCCGTGAGACAGCGCTTGTCGTTTGGATCCAGCCACAAGGCAGAACATACGTTTGATAATGAATTACTTTGCAGTGGTCTCAAACCATTGCCCACTTCTAGTCGCACTGAAACTGAGCAAGAACCTGTGCCACATAATCCCCCTGAGATCCGAACATGCGATAAGAGCTTTATTGTTATAGAAAAACCCACCCAGGAGAAGTTTCTGGCTGCAGCAGCTGCCACTTCGCCACACAGCAACGACGAGCTACAAAGTGCAGCAGTGACAACTGTATCTCACTTCATTGAACAAGCCCCAAAGACATCGGATTGTGAACCCACCCAGGAGAAGTTTCAGGCTGCAGCAGCTGCTACTTCGCCACACAGCAACGACGAGCTACAAAGTGCGGCAGTGACAACTGTATCTCACTTCATTGAACAAGCCCCAAAGACATCGGATTGTGTTCCAGAACAGAGCAAGCAGGGCTGCCCTACTGTTGAAAGGGGTGTTGAGATGGCCTGTCAGACATCTTTCTGCATTGGTAATGTCCCTGCCACAAGCACTGCCTGCGTGACACCAGTGAAGCACTTCGCCGTGCGCAAGTCTCTTCAAAAGGGAGCTGGAAGTGCCCCTGCCAAGCCTTTCTTAAATCGACGAGAGAGCAATGTGGCTGGGACTGTCCGAGGCCGCTGTCGCACTCCGTCGAACATACCGTTCAGAAAGTGGAATTCGCCCACGTCTTCCCCCAAGCGCCACGACAGTGTGTTCAAGGTGCCCACACCCATACGTGGAAAGACTCCAGGTGGAATTTCAGGCAGTGGAGACTCCACAGAAGTCTCCAGTCAAGAGTCCACTGAGTGCTGGCCAAGTTCAGGCCCGCGATGGCACGCCACGAAGTGTTAAGAAGGGCGCACGGTCACCGTGGTCAGTCGTCAGCCCTGTTGCTAGGGTAAGAGAAGCATTCAACTAACACAACATTGGGAAATACAGCAGAGAGCAAATAGCTGGAGAAACAGAAAATAAACAAAGCAATTGTACGTTGACAGCACTATTCGGTTTACTGTCACTAAAATTTGAAACTAAATATGGCTATATCCAATGGACCAGTCAGAGATAGCTTGCACTAAGGCACACAATCTAGGGTTGGAGTTTCCGAGTACAAAAGGCATCAAAGCTGTACTTTAGTATAAGCTGCTGACCTCTAGCTTGTTTTTTTAGCACTATGGAATTCCATGAGTATGCATCTCATGTGATGTCAAGAACATTTCACGTAAGCAATCTGTAATATAGACTATTACCCCTGGCGTTGCTATTCCACTGCCTAGCAGCAACTTGTCTTTTTCTTTTATAGTGAATACTAAAACCAAGGCATCTAGGTTCTGTTCATTTTGTCATACAATGCTCGTTGATGCTTTGGGGTTTGTTTACTGTACTCTTTTCATTAAGGTAGACACAGACCACAGGAAAGTGCTTAGCAAATCAGTCAGCCTATATTTAGATATGGGATAAATTAAAAATGTTAAGGGATGGTGAATTGGGGATATTTGGTATTACAGTGCAAAAAAGCATATATTAGAATTGCAAACAAAATGGTCCTGCTGTTTTGCATACTGTCTTTGCTTTTGTGCTGTATTAATAATCTAAGATTAGATGTTATCATTGTCTGCATTTAGTGCTCACACCCTGCTGTCCTTTATGTTCCAGTATATACATGAGAACCCTGCACCGCCTCTCATCCAGATTGTTAGGCCTCGAAAGTCTCCGTCAGCAAAGGTAGGACAAGCAACATTTCTTGCTCGATTTCCTTAGCTCCCACCCTTGCAGCACTGTATCTTCTAATCCTACACCTTTCTTCATATTTTAAAGAACAATTGCTTAAATGCAGTATCTTGCTTGCTTACTGACTGGATGGTGTATATAGCAAGCGACAGGCAAGGTGTGCCAGCAAAAACATGCTTTCGAATGCATGAAGCTGAAATACCAAGTACTGTTACATGACCTTGCTTTGACATGCCCATGAATGTGCTTTTGGTTGAATGTATGCATCGACAATCATCAGCACTGCGATGTTTTGAATTGCCACTGAACAGTTGATTCAAATTTGTGTATGCACCATCTCTCTCACGCGTGCGAATGTTTCTTCACAGGTGCTCTCTAGTTGCCACCTATCAAGATCACACACATAAAATACAATGTATGAAATGCACCGCCGCAAGAGCAGTGCAATTCAGCTAGCTGTTCATTTCACTGTAATAAAACAAAAGTGACTCACAGTCACATTTGGTTCATTTGTAGTAGAAGGTTAATGCATGATTGGTTGCTGTAGGGTAAACACACTCTACCTTTAAACAAATTGGTGAAGATGTCCTGATTACAGATAGCAGAGTTAAGAAAGAACAAGTAATGGTTCCTACACTGAAGTTCTTTCACCACATTCAGAACCATACCACACCCACTATGCTTGTTTGCTATGAGAAAAAAAAGTTAAAGAAGTCGTATGTCACTTGGTTGTGGGCATTTTTTTTTTTTTGAAAGGGCAATATTAATGGTTGCATCATGGTGGTATTGTATTTATGCAGAACCAGTTGATAGAGGCTGGTGGCAGGGCTCCCCAAGAGATGTAGGAACAAACAAAATTAGAGGCTATGGCCTATACTTAACAATGAGTTGCTTTGCACCTTTTCATTGCATATACATCAGGCTTCACGAGAAGCGACATTGCAACCCTTAGTTCTGTTTTATTTTCCTCATGTTGTTAGTCATTTCTGTAGTGTTATTTCTTTCATATTCATTTCCTGTTGACTGGAACAACTACATGCTCTGTCCAAACCTCGGACATCCAGTATTGTCATACTGAACTAGGTACTGCTAAGCTCAGAAGTGTATACTTGCCATTTCAGACCTTGACGACAGCAACCTCGCCTGTTCATTCACCGACTCTGTCAGCATCTCCACGTACTGCTCCTCTGCCAGACAAACGGTACCAAACGTCAAACATGGGAATCCTTCACAGGGTGCGTGTTTGTTTGCACTGCGTTTTCCTGTATGAGAAAGGGAGCAGTGCCAAATAAACTAGTATTCTTGCTTTTAAAATGTGCGTGAGCAAAGGAAGATCAACTTTTCAGTTGTTCTCATGGAGTGAATAGTGCAAACATGCGTCAAAGTGATTACTAAAGGTTGAAAATTAGGTTTACATATATAATTGCAAAACACCGTAAAGTTTGCATAAGGCCGGAAAAAGCCTATGCTAAAAACTTTACAGCATGATTCGTAAAAACTATTGTTAAAGTTATGTGCAGTGGCGATCAAAATACTGCAGACCATGGGAGCGCGTATCGAATAGCGTCGAGGCACCTTCTGACTTGCCAGCGTGCTTGTTCACTCTCTTCAACAGAGCTCGCACCGGAATGCCAGAAGAAGCGCAAGGTGTCACTCCTGCTGTTGCCGCGGATTCACCGAGCGATGATATCGCGACAAAAGCACATAGTTTGTACTGTAAGTTGTACTGGCAGTGCTCTGTGCGCGCTGCATTCTGTGCCATAGCCCCAGACTCCGTTCTGCCAAAAACATGCATGCAGCGTCAGTGTTTTAAAAATCGACCTTTCCGATAGGGTTTGAGCTGTGACAGCCGAATTGACACCTTGCACTTCCTGTAGCGTTCCGGTGCGCACACTGTTGAAAAGAGCGAACAGGCGGGCTGGTAGATAAAAAAGGGCATGTCTGCGCAGTGTGCGCTTTTGAGCTTTGCAGGCAGCCCTAAAAAATGCAGCGGTGCTGTTTGACACGCGCTCCAGTGGTCCACAAAATTTTGACCGCCGCTGTGCAAGAGGCGCCTATTGAGTGGTGAGTACTTGTATGTTAAACCGAATCGAATTACATATGCTCAAGTTAGAAAATCTGTTGCTAAACCATTGAAAACGGCAGCCAGATGAGCAGTGCTCTAGCGACAGGCAATTAAGCAAACAGTACTCAATGATAACTAGTTATATATAATGCGCTACAGCGTGTGAAATTCCTGTCATTAATGTTTTAGAACTCTCCATAGCAGGCTGTTGTATCAGAGCTTATGACCTTATTATGTTATGAATTATATTTTTAATTGTTTGAGTTCAGGCTTGAAGTGATTAAAAATTATTATGCAGGAAATGTGTCATGTTTGAAGGTTTTAATTGTGTGCTAACCTCTCCACAGTCTGCAAGCATGTGCCCGCAGACTTTCTCTTTCCGTTTTGTGTGCAAAATCAATACATTGTTGACAGCATACAGCTTGAGGTTTAAGCATATGGATTTCGACCTTGTGTAAATGTTGGCAGTCTGACTTGCAATTCCAGTCTCTTTGGTGGAAGTTACTATCATATATCTGCTATACAAGCTTATCGTAGTAGATAATGTAATCTCTATGCATAAATAATTACCTCATTAATATAGCTGTACAAGCTTATTGAATTAGTAATCTGGGTGCATGAATAATTACCTCATTAATATACTCAGAATCACCCCGCCGCAGTGGTCTAGTGGCGAAGGTACTCGGCTGCTGACCCGCAGGACGCGGGATCGAACCCCAGCTGCGGCGGCTGCATTTCCGATGGAGGCGGAATCGTTGTAGTCCCGTGTGCTCAGATTTGGGTGCACGTTAAAGAACCCCAGTTGATCAAAATTTCCGGAGCCCTCCACTACGGCATCTCTCATAATCATATGGTGGTTTTGGGACGTTAAACCCCACATATCAATCATCAATCCATATACTCCGAATCGAGACAAGTGAAGAACTTCAGTGCTGTCATTGCCATGGAAATTTCACTCTATGCTCCTTTTTAAATAAGTTGTTTTCTTTGCAGGTGGGTCTTGATCATATGGCAAAGCCTTCCAAGCCCATAGTCATTAAGCATACAGGTAATTCTCTATCTCACCTCGTGGTTTCACTCCGTGTTACACACAGATTTAGCGACATGCTGAAATACTTGCCATTGGTTTCAGTTGCCAGGAAGGATGATGGCCGAAGTGTCCCCGTAAGTACCATGCGTGTTATTTTCCTTTACTTCTCTCTCTCTTGTTTTGAATGGGCACTGTTAATTGAGACTCGTCAAGCAAGCATAGTGCTTTGCGACATCATTTTAATCTATCTAGGCACAAAGTTTTGTAACTGGACAAAATTGGTTTTTCCGAGTCGCAGCACTGAGAGCATAACTTTTACAGTCACAGACTTTGCTTTTAGTGTATAGTCTTCTTTTTTTTTCTTTTGACGAGAAAATTTTCTCGAGGTCTGCAAGATTGTTTACATTACTCTCTACGAATGTGAATTATTGTTTATCGGATCGCTAAATTTCAAGATACATTGTCGAGCAGCCGCTCTTTAAATGGATTACGTCCGGCTGGTGTTACCTTGAAAATTAAAATAATGATCCTAAAGGTACCACTGCTGTTTTCGTCGCATCGCGGGTACGAGAAAGCGAACTTGTTCACTTGCCCTCTTGTGATTGGTTGTAATCGCTCTTCGCTGCGGAAGCGCATGATTCTGACCAATACGATCGAATGCCGTGCCGTTGTCAGGTGACACCTCGGCTGTACGGCTTACACGTAATCAGCTTCCTTTATTTAAGCCATTTTATTTTTTTATTCCGCGAACATTACAAGTGTGGTACCTTGCACGTATTTGCAGGAAATGGAGGCATCTGTTATCCAAGTCATCCGCCACTGACCGTCGCAGAGGAGGCTGTTCAGCTTCGGCTACGACAATGTAGCTCACACCAATGTCGTGTGGAACTACATAGACACTATTATATAACCTTTATAAGTGCCGACGAGGCCGCCACAAAAATCTGAAACTTCGTGTGAGGCGGCAATGTGGTTCAAACGCACCGCGGCATATCTGTGTTGTTAAACCTAATGCTTAAAAATAGAGAGAGAGAGCAGTAGTGGGAAGAAAGCGCAGGGACGCCTTGACCCGGTAATCCGCGTACAGTGAGCGGCCTTTTTCGCCTGTCGCGATAATGAAAACAAACAGCACTCGACGTCGCCTCGGACCTTTGTCACAAGGTTGTTGGCCACATTGACAGCGCGCCAGCAGGCGGGGAATATCGTACGCCTGTGTCGAAAGCGCGGCCTGTTAAGTAGTTTAGTTTAGCTTGCAAGATTAGCGTCGTCACGAAGTTAGTGCCTCTCCGGTGAAACGACGTTGTGTTGATTTTTCTCGAAGACGCTGTAAAAAGTAATCGCCACATGGCTGCCAAGACGATCGACGGTGCCCGAGTGGTGGTCGAAGCCCTTCGAAAGCAGGTGACCTCTCCCAAGTTTTCCTCGTAGTTCTGCGTAACGTACGGACTAATACACTCGTCGTATCTGTGCTAAATCAAGATGTCTTCGGTATTCACCGCAAAAAAGCGGTCCATTCCTTCGTCATCGCGTCGCACGTTCTGCCTTCGGCATTCGGACAACGGTTGCGAATTTAGCGAATAGCACCGGCACTCGTACATTGCTTGCATGTTTCACTTTATTATTTTTGACTAGACGTTCGAACTGCTCACGTTTCCTGCCTTTATCCTCACGCACAAATAAACATTTATTTTCACAGAAAGCCTCGCCTTTTGTGTTTTGTTTAAGCTTCGCTACGTCTATCAATGCTGTTCGCGACACTGAACGGGAAAGACGTGTTCGTAGTGAAGAGCCTTTATCTCGCTATCGCATATGTCTGTGACAGGACTCGCTGCGAGGGGAAATGTGGGTGTACGTGAGGGGGTGTTTTTTTTTTTTTTAATGCGCCCGGTTTAAAAATCAGCTGCGGCATGACCGTGAGCCCATCGCGGCAATCCTGCAGCAGAGTAGCGAGAAAATTAATTTTCGCTACGTCCGTGCTTCAAAAGCATTTCATACCGTGTGTGTACGTGTCGTTCGAGCTAAACCGTGACCTGTTTGTTGGTTACCGTAAAGTGCCCGTGCATTCTTCTAGGACAAATTAAATTGTTTTTAGATAGGATTGCGTGTTACGAGCCAGTAATGGTGTACGGATCACACGCAATCTCATGTTTACTGCTTTTGGGAATAATAAGAACACATGAAAACTGGCGATATTCAACTAGTCGTGGTAAAATCTGTGCAAAAAGACTGCAACACGACACAAAGAATGACAATACAGGCACCTAGTCCTGTGCCAGTCTTCGTCTCATGTTGCCATATTTTTGCACTGATTTTTCCATGAAGATCAGCTGACTAGCCTAATTTCGCACGCTATTGCACTCACTAACATTTTGCAGACATGTGTCCAACATTGTGTTGTGCTACATATGAACTAAGTACTTTTCTTGTACCATTACTACTTTACAAAGGTTACTTTCATGAGTGATGGCAAGTTGTTTATTTGTGCGTAGAAAAGCAATAATAGTCAAAGCAGGAAGAATGCAAGCACCATTTCATTCACTGTTGTCGGAGGAGCCAGATAAGGTAAGAAATTCTGTATGCAGTGTCGTGGGCATTGTGGTGCCCCTGAAGAGGGTAGGATGCCATTGGAAGGGGCTTCACATTGGATAGCCTGCCTTCATCGTATCGTTTGCTGTTTCATTATAATAGAGCTGGACAACCTGAGCTAGTACAGCTGCATTTGAACATTGAAAAATTCGCTGTGTTCTGACTATGTGAAGAATGCTGCTGTTTGTTGTGAAGGCATTTTAGAGTGATGGGCCAAACCTGCCTATGTTTTGTAAAAGAACATTTCTAAAAGTTAATTAGAACACAAACACGACACAATCACGCACACATGCACACACCCAGACATCAAACACACACAGCACTGCCTATGTTTGCTTTTCTCCAATGGCATGACTTGCATATAAGAGGAAAAAAACAGCACAAAATTAAGACAGGCACAAGATGAAGGCACGACACGAGCGCTAACATACAACACTGCTTGTATGTTGCATGTTGTCAAAAGGCAACCTTCTTGTGTTTTTTTTTTTTTTTTTGCCTAAAGCAAGGCTTTAACAGCTTTACAAAACTTATTGAATGCCTATGTTCCTTTCTCACCTCCTGAAGCTTTACGTTAGTGTTTCTCATACTAAATAATGTGCTCAAAAATTTATTACTGTAAGAGAACTTTTTGTTGAGCGAGTTGGTGTGCCTTCACAACTTCAAACCATGAAAAGTACACACGAACACAGGGGGGGACATGGGACAGAGCACCACTGATGACTGATTCATTTTCAGAAATATGCACACTATTATTGCTATGCTTCCTTGCCAATTGTTTATTACCAATTCCTCATTCAGCCATCAATACTTCTTGTGAAAAGGTGTGAGTGCCCAATAGCAGGATGTGGGTGCAGGCCTTGGGAGAGAGCATGCCAGAAACCATAGTACAAAGTACAATACCTTGTGCTTAGTGTTCCCAGTAGCATATCTGAGCTCTGTACATTCCATCTAGGACATTTTATTTTAGAGGTAGTGGGCTCTCAATTGTACATTGTCACTAGCAATAAACTATATTTGTGAACCATACTTATTTTATATTTTTGGGTTGAGTACTGGAGACATTGTTAAAATGCACATCATGTCTTACCTTGCTCTGCTTGACACATTATTTTTGTTTACCTATAAATACTGCTAATCTGCAATTGCAGAATATAGAATAGCTTGAACTTGAGAGAATCCACATTGTTTTCCCCTTTTCAATCATCAAAGCACATTTCATGGCTGTAGCTGTAAGCCACTTCCTTTCATTCTTGATCAACATGCAATGTTCATAATGTAAACCTCATATTATGGGCTTTGTCATTGCTTTCGAAACATTATTTTATTTTTTTAAGATCTTTGACTCAACTATTAAGGGTATGCTTGGCATGGCCAAAGCTACTACTCTGGGCTGTAAAGCAAGGCCCTTCCTTCTCCTAAGGACTAGGAGGGTTTCTGTATTTGGAGTATACAGATACAGATTTGTGAGAAGTTGCACAGAAGCCATAATATGCAATCTGGCAACAAATCAGCCTTGTCATGTCCCGTCTACATTGAAACTTGTAACACTAAATAGGTTGTAAAGGATCGTGAACTGCAGGAAATTAAGGAAAGGACAACACGAAAGAAGAGAAAAAGACACACAGAATGGATATAGCGCTCTGTATTGTGTGTGTTCTTTCGTGTTGTACTTTTCCTGATTTGCCCAAATTCACGATCGTTTACTAGAATGCATTTACCAGCCCTTCAAGATGTTCTAATTAAACAAGAGTGCCAGTCTAGATTGATGGATGTATGGAAGACTATTCTGCCAGGTTAAGGCCTAAAGGTTTTTTCATGCTGTGATACTCATTGTGTGGTGCATGTTTTTTTGCAATGCGGCAAACCAGGGTATTGAACACATCTTTGGCGTGGTCGGTGTGCCTGTCTTTGAAGTGGCTCTGGCAGCTCAACAGGCTGGCATCAAGTTTGTCGGCATGCACAACGAGCAAGCGGTCAGTGTCCTATCTTGCTTAGACTTCCTGAGCTGCTATCATAGAGGCCGATGACTCGTTTTGTAAAAGGAAGCGCAGGGGTGCTATTGTACTTTATCTCTGGCCTTGCTCGTGTTGAGTGGCTGGCAGTTTGGACAATGCCACCCTGTACTAAGACAAAATGAGGAGCTAAGTTTGTTAAAAGAAAGCAAGGCTTTACGGTAATCTCGGTTCAGGGGGGAAGAAATTAGAGAGGTGGCAGTTGGGGAATTAAATGTTTTTGTATTATTCAGTATGCATATATGCATTGTGTCAAATTCATGCATAGCGAGTGAAATATGTAGTAACATTAGATATGTGAGCTTATTCACCTTATCTAATCATTTTAGGTTCATGTGACCTTACTAATAATACTATTGTTATATGTGTATATTCTTTCTGTTTAAAGTAGCATAGAATTTGCTACAGTAGCACGAATGCTTGGCTCAACTGCTATTGTGTTCAGCTTGGTAGTTCGAATTGCAGGCTAAATTCTTTAAGATATTGAAATTAGCATAAAATTTCAACCGATAGGTTTATTTCAATTAGAGTGATTCTAGGGAGAGAGTTAAAATTATGCTGGAGTTCTCTTGATATCAGGGAATATCATCAAATTATTCTGGAGATATATTTATTGTAATGTTTCAACTGCAGCTGTGCTGTTACTTCAATATGACCGGCCGAGCTATGCATACCCCATGATAATCAAACTTATGCATAGCTTTTATCAATTCTGCCATTGTTCAATCACCATTTTTATTTTCTTGTGCTTTATGGAAAAGAAAAGTTTGAAATGTAAAAGTTTATGCATGGAAAGTGGGTGGGGTTTGCCAGCTGTGAAGCTACATCATTTTACCTAGTTCACATTTTTACCACACAAAAAGAACAAGGGGAGAAAATACACATGTGTACAAAGTACTCTTTTCTCTACACCCTCCCCTCCTTTTTTGTGTGTGCACTAAAAAGTGCATGTGAGCTGCCAACATGCTCAAGTATACACACTTTCACATTTTATTATGCTCTGCCATTAGTACCGTATACTAGCAGTCTTAGCATGCCAATATGCTTTATGTTGCGGTACGTTTGTATTTTGATGAATTGTAGTTGCCTACTTGTGTACATTCACCATTGATTTTGTTTGATATCAAGTGCTTTTTCACATTGTTAGGGGCCCTACAACACTTTTGGAGCATGGTAAGAAAACGCTGCCAATCGGTAGGAGAGGCTCTCGACAACACGCAAGCCAAATAATATAGCGCAGAACGCGGCCCATTATTCACAATAAATTATCAAAGTCAGCTAAAGATTGCTTTCTCTTCTCAACAAATCACAGAAGATGCTTAAAAATCATTCGTAGAAAGCAAACGGCTTATTTGAACAGAGCGTGCTCGGTCACTACAGAGATCACCGCGGGAGGCCGCGACTTGTCCCTGCATGCACGCGCAATCACACTGAAAAAGTCACGCATTCAAATAAAAGAAAAAGTGCTCAAGGTCACGAGGCACGCATGGCATCTCTTTTTGCCTCTGCCATCCCTCCCTGCTTAGCTTCCAGCGCTTTCGTCTGGACAAGAGAAGAGAGAATGCAATTGCAGCACGCGACAAATCTTTGCAACTCTGCTCATACTGGACAGATTCTTAAAATTTTTGGGGCGTTGAATTCATCAGGCAATAAGCTCTTCGAGTGAATTCATATTATGGTTGCTTGAAAAAGTGTTTCAGGGATCCTTGAAGGGCTAGATCGGCTCTCTTGCTTGTTTCTGAATGATTTTAATTTGCTATGTGAATTGGCACGTATAGGAGTGCTTGCCTCTTGTTTAATAAACTCTCTTTTTCTTTCAACTACTGCAAAATCTGTAGGCATGCTATGCGGCTGGTGCCATGGGATATCTTACCAAAAGGTATGCTTTCTTCTGAAGCGCTCACTTCGATAGTTCAGTATAATTTGTCACAACTGTCAAAAAGAAATACTGTCATTAAGAAAAACACAAGAGAGAGACACATCGTTCTATCCTTGTTTTCTGTGCGTCCTTTGTGACAGTTGACCACTTCATTGTTTAAAATATACGAGAGTTGGCTTTTCCCTTTTCTCAAATGTAGAAACAAGATTTTTGCCTGTGGGTTCTCGTGGAGCACATGCATACATACTTGTTTTGCATGTATAGCCGCTTTGTTGGTCTCATCCCCTTCATGGGCAAAGCCAACTTTTTTCACACATGAATATTCTTATATAATATTCTTTGTGATAAGTATATATGACAAGTGGCCACACAGTCTTTAGAAGGTTCACTGTAAAAGTTTTCATTTTTTAAAGAAATGCGTTGTTTCTGCCTTGGCATGAGAAAATGTGATTAATTTTTTGAATTTTAATAAGTTTGTTTTGTGAGCTAGTTGATGTCAAGGTAGGCCAACAGCATTCCAATTGTCTGGGCACATCATTTAAACTTGTCTGTTTGATTTATTTGTTGTTTTGATGTGAAGGGAAATTCATGTATCTTGAAATGGGCACAATAATGGGCCAAGAATACTGTGTAATCAACCTTACTGAAGTGTTGTGTGTGTGTTTAGCATCAGTAGAAGAAAATGATGGCAGCACAGTTTAGTTACTGTTCACCATCTTACTCGTGGAAACTGATACAAACTCAGTGAATAAAAAAAAAATGACAAATAAAAATGGTCATGAAGATTACTCACAGCTGTTGTTTAATCACAACACTGTTAGTCATCAGTTCTCTTCCTTTATTTCCTTCTTTCTTTGTTTCTGTCCTTATGCCATTTTATAAATTATTATGTTGGTTATTATACATCTCTTGTTGCAACTCTGCTGAGTGGCATTGTTCAAGTTACACAGTTTGTGGCACCTCAGCTTTGCCCCTATAGTACAGATGTCTTTGCCCATGCAGACCTGGAGTGTGCCTTGTTGTCTCGGGTCCAGGGCTTGTTCATGCCCTCGGTGGCCTGGCAAATGCTCAGATCAATGCATGGTGAGTACACCTGTTTTCATAGCTAATTTGTGCTCTGCTACACAAGAGTTTCTCAAGTTAAATAATTACGAAATATAAAGAAATAGAGAGAGAGGACCTAGTTGATCCTGCTGCATTACGATATTGTATAATACGATCACACTCACAGCAGCTCCAGTAAGTTCTGCCATGGCCGATGTATGACCAGTAGACTTGGTCACAGCTTTGGGATATTGTGCAGTATTGTCCTTTCTTTATGCTTTTGCAACGTGCTAAGCCGTTGTGCTATTTAGGAGCAGATTCAGGTTTCTTTTGAGGAAGGTGGGGTATCGGTTTCAGGTGTTCATTAATGATGATGCGAACTACAGAGATGCTTATGATGAATAATAAATATAATATATTAATTTTGGTTCTAGTGAGTTTTTTAACGGCGGTAACAACTGCAGAGGAGTTCATACGTTTGTCACATGCTGCATGCTGGTGCACTATTAATGAGAACTAACAAAAATGATGCCAAAGATTGTATGGGGGATATTATTAGAAGTAATTGTAATGTAATTGTGAAGAAAAAAATAGCTGACGAAAAGATAACTTGCCGTGGGCAAGAAGCGAACCTGCTAACTTCGAATAACACCTTAAATTTACACTTCTTTCCTTCATTGATGACTTGATGGCTTTAGGTGGTATGCAAGAGACTATTGGTCAGCTGCCAGCTCTTAATAAGATCACATGCTACGTGATTCCAATAGGCAAAAAAGTGTGTCCCCCACTCGTCATGATGGCGAAAGGCGGCCGTTGATTGACTCTCTCAGGTTTAAATCCACATATGTGCCCTACAATGAAGACGGGGGGATAGCCGCGATGGTAGCTCAGTTGGTAGAGAATCGAGCACATTATTCGAAGGTTGCAGGTTCGGTTCTTGCATATGGCAAGTTATCTTTTCGTCCACTTTTCTTTCTTCACCATTACTTTACAAATACTTTCGACAATATCACCTATAGTTTCTTTGGCATCATTAGTTTCGCATTAATATTGTGTTTAACAAATAAAACGAACCTTAAATTTACATTTTTTTCTTCATGCTGGTGCATTAGACACACAATTGTACTTTAAGGGTGGCAGGTGATCGGGACATTCTCTCTAGATATGAGCATGGTTGTGTTCATAAATCTTGAGTGTGATATCTTTTGTGTATGTGCGCACCTGCTCACATGTGTGTGTGCATAGCTTTTTATACATTGAAATTGGTCTCCTATTCAAGCTTATGGTGTTTTTATATTTATTTATGAGAAAATGAGCCTTTAGTGTATGCAGGCTTGTTATAGCCATCCAGAGTTCATTGCCTGCATAGATAAAAGCTTTTTACTGCTACCCATGGGCACTGAAAGCCAGTTTCACATTGTGAAGAGTTCGTTCTACAATTTGCTGCTATCCTCAATCTTTGTCAGGCCTTTGCTGCTGGTTGGAGGCTCCAGTGAACAAAACTTTGAAGGACTCGGGGCATTCCAAGAGTTCCCACAGGTCAGTGCAACAAGATACTGTCTTTTCGTTTTGCTTGCGGAGCACTCACAGAGTCTTCAGAAACTGGGAAATGCTAAAGAGCCAGGTAGGCTATCGACATATACCATTGCGCCCTTCAAAGGAGGCGAAGTTTTTCTTCATTACACCCTCTTCCGTGGACTTCCTCTTATTCATACTGTGTCCACTCCGTACCAGATAGCTAATATGCATCTAACGCCCTAAATGATCATTTTCATTGCTTGGAGGAAACGAAAGCTTGCTTAGATATTCACTCTCTCTAAGTTCACCACGTCATGCAATTTTGTACTTGTATATCAGCTCAATATTCAGTGTGTCGTCCTGCATCATGGAGGCTGTGAAAGAAGTTCAGTTGTCAAAACATGCATCTATGAGTGTTTTGGGCTTGGCCTTGGTTGCAAATGCTTATGCAATCACTGCATCAGGCTGCGTGTGAGGTACTGTGACAGGCTGTAAATTAAAGCGCAAGAGAAAAACAGCAAAGCATACCTTAGTTTAAAAGAAGATATTGTAACATCTTTTTGTGTGAATTTTTTTCATCTTCAGTGTACAAAAACTCGTAATGCATTACTCAGCCGGAGTCAAGAACGATTCTAAGTAATAACTGCAAAAAAAACGCCTAATTATTTCTTGGTGAAAACACAGCTACTGCAAGAGGTCACGCTAGCCTCGACATCATTGCACAAGTTGTAGTGAACTTGTGTGCACTGTGAGCCTTAAATGCTGTGGGGCCAGCAAGGGCCACTACTGACGTCAGGTGTGTAACATGGTCTCTATAATTCCCCCTGCTATGCACAGATGCAGAGAATTAAGACAGTAGTATACACAGTTCATAAACTTCCACAGTGCACTAGTTTGTACAAGTGGCGCACTTCTGACTGAGTCATACTCTGGTATGGCTCGCCGATAAGAGGATATCTGAATGCCTAGGCTACGTGGTAAATGGACATGAGAAGCTTCAAAGAAAGGATGAAGGAAGCAAGAGTCTCGTTGCATGCTTTTTGCTTGGGAAAGAGAAAAGGAAAGTTAAATGATGAAAGAGGGAGGAGGAAAGAAGAGATGCAGTGAATTTGCTTTTGTGCGTATGTTACACCGATTTTTTTCATTTCCTCTGATAGGTGGACGCCTGTCGTATGTACACAAAGTATACCTGTCGTCCCAGCTCTGTACAGCTGATTCCCATGCAGATTGAAAAGGTATGCACCATGGTTCTTTTTACTTAGTGCACGGCCTTTGAGAACATGTGGTCCTCTTATTCTTGAACGAGAAAGTTAACTACTGCTATAAAATTTACTTGATGTTAGTCAAACAGTGAATATGTTCACATTTATTACATCTCAACCATTCAATTACTTGTAATGTGGCATGCAAACTGAAAAATTGCTGGCCAGAAGTTTAAGTGTACTGCCCTTTTCTAAATTTGATGCCTGGCACAAGAGCGAGCTTGTTTTGCAATATGACTCGTGTTCTATACAAGGAATAGATAACGAGGACAGTTTTAACTGAAAGTTTACGATCTGCTGTCCAGACTTATTGGTCCTGATGACCCTCACTCAGCCTCGCAGCAGCAGCCCTAATGTGTTTGCACAGCACACACACGAATCCAGAAGTAACATGACAGTGTGTCTGTCAGATTATTTCACATTCTTCAAGCTAGGTAACTGCATACCACCAGCATCTGTGAAAACAGGTGCTTGTGAAATACACATCAACATCCTCTCTGTCTGTAGCTAGGGAGTGTGAAATGTGAGCACTGCAGCCCATCAGTAATGCTCTGCCGAAGCTTAAATAGCTTCTATATTGTCTAATCTCTTGTGATACAGTTGGTACTACACCCTGTGCCCTTTATTTTTTATTGTTCTGTGTCTTTTTTAATTCTGTGTGTTTATATGTGTGTTTTATCTCTCTCTTTGCTCCCTTTTTCTTGCCCTTGTTTCCCCACCCCAATGCTGAGCAGCAAACAAGATGTGGTTAATCCCCGGCATTTTTCTGCATCTCTCTCTCTCTCTTATTTTTGCCTCGCACCATATTTACTTTTGTTTTCTCGTTGATACTTGGTGGGCTGAATGGCCATTTACTGTTGCTATCGAAACATTAATTTTTTTCATGAATTGCAGGCTATTCGAACAAGCCTTTACGGCCGCCCGGGTGCCACATACATTGACTTGCCTGGAAACATGATAATGGCAGAAGTTCCTGAAGAGAGTGTGCCAGAGGTGGCGAAATGCCCTGACCCTCCACGAACTCTCGCTGACCCACCAAATGTGGCTCAGGCATTGTCACTGCTTAAGAGTGCCAAGAAACCGCTTATTATCGTTGGAAAAGGTAACGTACTTTGCAACATATGTTGCTGTGTATCACCATCGTTTGAGTGTGTTATAACGAGAACCCTTCCCAGGTGAAAATTTCCTGCTCGTTGGCTATTGGTTCCAGCAGTGCTGGTTTATTTCCAGTAGGTAATGGAACCAGTAGCTGGTGGTTCCAGCAGGTGTTGAAACCAGCAGCTGATGGAACCAGTGGCTGGTGGTTCGATTGATTGATTGATATGTGGGGTTTAACGTCCCAAAACCACCATATGATTATGAGACACACCGTACTGGAGGGCTCCGGAAATTTTGACCTCCTGGGGTTCTTTAACGTGCGCCCAAATCTGAGCACACGAGCCTACAACATTTCCGCCTCCATCGGAAATGCAGCCGCCGCAGCCGGGGGTGGCTGGTGGTTCCAGCGCAGTGTTGCAGGCAGTCGGCCAACTTGTAACTCGCCGACATGGAGCACCCCTCCAAGCAAAAAAGCAGGCGATAAGCCTGATTCGAGCTGCATATTGTCAGCTGCAAGCTTTAATGCAGCTCGAACCAGCTGAAATACGGCCTGTTTCTAACTGGAAGTTAGTCCCTTCACAGCTGAACAATCGTCACATTCCATTTTCGTAATACTTAGTAATATGAGTTGGTAATACGAGTTGCAGTGGTACCAATGAGCAGATTAAGTTTGTTCCCCTCAATAGCATGTAGTTCTAAAGGGGGCCATATAGTTTGGTTTATCAAGTCATGTCCATCATGCATTATACTCTGCTACCACAACCTAGAAACAACCTTTTATATTTTAGTTCACCCCCCTTTCTTTTTTTTTTTTCAACGACTAATAAAATGGTTTGCATAGTTCAAGCTTTGTTTCTAAATGCCAAGATAAAGGGTCCTGCAGTAGTAAGGCAATCTAATCTATAATTGGTGACACATGTTGGGCTCAATTAGCATGGAGTGTAGTGATGGTGTTTCCATTCATGCTTTAGACGTTTGTTGTGCCATTCGGGGACAGGGCTAAAGGTTTGTTACGCTACTTGCACAGGTGCCGCATATGCTCGTGCCGAGAAGAGCGTACGTGAACTTGTGGAATGCACGGGCCTGCCATACCTGCCTACACCGATGGGAAAGGGTGTTTTGCCCGATAACCACCCTCAGTGCATAGCACCAGCCAGATCAAAGTGAGCTGCTCACTACATTGCTAAATTATCACTGTGTTGTCAAAACTCAAAATTGTGAACCTACCCCGGCTGCCACACGAATTAACAGAGCAAAGATACATGGAAACAAGTGTACGAGTTAAAGCTTATGAGCTTTAAAAAGCCCTGCACCACTTTTTCAGTATGGTTAGAAAATGCTGCCGATCAGCAGTCAAGGCTCCCGGCAACATGTGAGCAAAAGGTTATAATGCAGTACGTGACCTGGAATTCAGAATTGTTTCTCAAAGTCAGCTGTAAAGTTAAACCGCTCACCTCACTCTTTTCTCTACAAATAATGCCATAAACTCAAATGACGGCAAGATAATAAACTAAAAGCCCTCCGCCATTGGCTGATTTGAGCGTGGTGAGCCACATAGTTACTATGGTTGCTGCGGGATGCCAAAGTACTCACTTATAATCACTTTGGAGACAGTAATAATAGTATCTGGGGTTTAACATCCTACAAACGTGACGTGATTATCTGGGACACTGTATTCTAGAGCTTCGGAGATTTCTACCACTTGTGGATTATCAACGTGCACCTAATTTAAATATGCGGGCCTCAAACATTTACGCTTTCATTGGAAATGCAGCCGTCGTGGCCAGGATTAGATCTCTTAAGCTTCGGGCCAGCAGTCGAGTGCTGTAACCGCTAGACCACCGTGGCGAGGCCACACTAAAGGTATGCTGCGCAACTGAGAAAAAAAGAAATTGCTTATGGTCATGACTTGCACTGTTAAAAGGGTGTAGCTTCCTGCCCCCTTTTCATCCCCCTCAGTGTAGCTTTCACTGTACATACTTGCTGGTACATAAATCCTTGGAACACCCCTGGTACTTGACGGATTCTGAAAATCTGGCGGCTGTCCATTCTTGAGGAAATAAACTCGAAGCCATTTGATTCTTACTTGAAAAAGTGTTGCAGGGCCCTTTTAAGAAGCCTTGCCCTCTCTAATGCTTACAGCTTTTACTGAAACTGCATGGCACTAATTGAAACTTATGACTTATGCCTTACCAATGCCTTAGCAATGATTTTTATGGCATTATACAGGTACTTCACGTAGCGTTCACAGCTGTAAGTTTCGTCACTGGGTTATGATATGCATTATGTGTCTGTGCAGAGCGTTGCAAGAAGCGGACGTCATCTGTTGCTTGGGGCACGACTCAACTGGATGTTGCATTTTGGACGGCCTCCACGCTTCAGCCCAGGTGTCAAAATAATTCAGGCAAGGGTGCCAGTTCGCTGTAACAAATCTAGCTGTCGTGAGCAAGTACCAAATTTTTTGTAGATGCACCTGCACAATTTTGTTGCTGACAGCATACTCACATCCGTTCAGAGAAGTTTCACAGAACTTGTGAGAATGCTTAGTCAACAGTGACAAAGGTTTCTGATCACCCTTAAAAGAGTGACCTTAGAATCAGTATGGAAATGTTAACTGTTTTAGTGCATACACCACTGTGCAATACGAAATCGAATGCCGTTATTGCTGTTATGTGGGCATTAATAGTGGCTAAACACACAGCACTGTTGAGATATTAAATGATTCTAAATGTTCTGAGGGAAAGTGATTGTTATATACTAAAATGTTAGGTTGAGAGGTACAGATCACAAGTTATTGTTGCTTTGCAATGATATCATTATTGCACTTTTACATTATGCACAATTATATGTACCTCTTTTTTTGTCCTGTTGTGCACTACAGGTGAAGAGACATTAGTCAGAAGCCTTACTGTATGTAGTTACGTTGGTGACAACATGTTTTATGTACTGTATTTTAAAAGCCTTCTCCAACAAGCATGACTGTTAACATAATTTGTACTAACATGGCTGATGATGAGTATGGTCATGAGGAAACATTAGTGCACTGTGAACTAGACTGAAGGTATTCTAATATGCATATCTGTTAGTTAGCTTGCTTCTGGCTGCAGCTTATATAACTAAATGGTGGCGCCTCTTCGCGTTGCCCACATTGTGTTAAATTTTTCTCTTTATTATAGCTGCGTGAACGTTTCGGGCACCTTTTTGGCAAACTTGATGTAAAAGAAAGCTTAACTCATTTATACATTTATACAATACGAAAAGCATTAGAAACCAGAATATTTGGTATTGTTGTTATTATTATTGTTGTTGTTGTTGTTGTTGTTAACAAATTAACTGCTTCTTTCCTGGTGGTTTGCTTTCTTTTTTTTTCCCCAGCTATATTCTGTCTTTGTCTCGCAGGTTGAACTTTTTCAAGAGGAGCTGCACAACAGCATCCCTGCAGCTGTCGCATTGGCTGGTGACGTGGGTGCAGTGGCAGAGCAGGTTTTTATTGAATCTTTTCACTGCCTATACAGTCAGTGCTGTGCATAGTATACATACAGCAGGCAAGTGCTTTCATTTTAAGCTACTACTAATAAGCAGTCTTGTTGTCTTAGTTGAGATATAGTTTGAAAGTCTGCATGAGTGCAGTTCTTTGGGCCGTATTTCTCTGGATTATCAATTGGTAGTTGAACTTTATGATGGGCAAGGATGTCACGGCTTCCATCTCTTGCTCTCTCTCAGATATCCAGGGTGAGTGTTTGCTGACTGAAGAGGCTGGCTGCCCTGCTGCGTTTGACTGGTGTGGTTTGCTCAAAGCTTCGGTCTGTCCTTTCCTATTTTAACGCATTTCGTGGTCTGTCAGCATGCTTTCATCTAGGTGGAGTGTCATGGCAATAAAAGCATGAACAGATCGGACAGGAATAATAAATGGGAGTGGGCCACATTAACGACCATGTCATCTCCTTCTTTCTTGCCCCACTCCGTTCTGTTTGTACGTTTTTTTCATGGTGGCACATTACCAACTGATCAACGTTCCCATCTTTATGCATTGAACAGCCCTGCATGTTCCTTGACAATGTCTCTGTTGTCGATTGTGCACTTGATAGTTTCCTTTTATTTGCCTCAACAGTCCTTGCTCTTGGCCTGAATATTCAAGCTTAATCTGTTGAATAGGGAAAGAAAACTGACAAGGATTGAGCCGGCAGCGACTATATGAACAGCACTAAAAGAGAAAGTTGGGCGAGTTAATGGTTCATGCTTGAGGTGTAAAAAATAGCGCAATTAACAGACGGAGACTAAGGAGGCACCTGCATCGCGTCTTCCTTAGTCCTCGTCTGTTTTTCGTGCTATAGATTATTTATATCCCAAACTTTATGAACAGGTTGCACTTAATTTCTCGCAGTCTTTCTCTTGCCTACTTCAGCTGCACTGCACGAAACTTACTTGACAGCCCTCCTAGGTCACTAATTGTCGGAACTGCATCCCTGTTTTTACTTTCTCTCTAATGTTTCATTTTTTTCATAACCTTCTGATGTAACAAAGTTTGTTCATACAAGCTGCAAAATAGTGGGCTCTTATGAGGGGAAATTTTTGAGTTGGTTCTAGAACAAACTATGATGTTCAGCTATGAAGGTGACCCTGATTTCTTCAAAGAAAATTGAGGTTATTAAACATGAACATAAACATTCGAAGAGCTGGAGAACCCACAGTGTGAGAACAACGAGGAAGAGCTACACTGAAACAGCATTGTTCTATCCATAATTTTTACGACGAGCTCTCATATTTGGAAAATCTGCATTGTTTGAAAATATGGTGCTGAAGTCAAGACAACTCATGCATATATTCGGATTATTAAGACCGAAAAGCAAAGTCAGCGTACAAGTAACGTTAGTTTATGTATCTTTTCAACTTTCGTCTATCCTCCTCCTCTGGCCTTTTACTTCCCCTTTCTTTTTGTGTAGAACATTGGTAAGTACTCGTATTTTGGCGAATCTTTCTGTATTTAGAATAAGTACTTTTTTTTTCTATTTTTACGTATGCATAAAGCCAAGGTAGTCATATACATCCAGGGAAAGTTCTAATCTGTCAAAAAAAAAAAAAATCAATGATTTTGTGAGGAGCTTACAGTCACAGTACTCCATAACACTTGCCATTAACTAACTGTAGTATCGCTTATTTCAGTGACCCAAGGTACTCTTATTTACTGAACTACTCATGTGCTTGCAAAACTTGCTTCGTGGACATGTGCTTTGTGGGCATACACTTATCCTCGCCTTTTTTGAAGCTTAATTCAGTCGTATGACAAAGATACACAGAAAAAAACTGCCACTCGGGCACAATAGCTAAATATTTGGCCGACTGTACCTTGCCTGCCCAGTTGACCGCTGAGCATGCCAAGGACCCTTGGCGGTACCCTGCCGATGCACCCTGGTGGCATGCGCTACGTGGTAAAGTTGCTGCCAATGAGAAAACTGTTCAGGTGAGGCAAAAGCATTGGACTTGTTTCTTTGTGAGCTTTAAACGGACACAGTGATCTTTTAGATGATTCAGCTCTGCTTCTAGTTTCCTCAGCTTTTTATTCGCTTATGCCAGAGGTCCCTATAGAATTAAAAACAGGCATCAGCATCATAATATGTGAATAGAATCAAGTGCATTATGTTCCCAATAAGTAGAGGAGCTGTAAGGAATGCTTTAGTTGATAGCATTCATCGAGTTATGTACACTAATTGGTTTAGCTTAAGGATTACTGTCCTAATTGATAAACTGGAAGCAATTATAGGCAAGGGGTATTGAACGGTGGAGTTTTCAGTTGTGTAATAATTAATTACTTGTTAATATTTTTTAGAAACAAAAGTCTGCAGATATTGTATACTAGTGCATTTTATAAACCAAATATTCTTAACTGGCGTGAAGGGAGGTATGCGACTTCTACAAAGGTATGAGTTATAATTCAAAATATGCAGCATACATCACAGGAGCTGTTCGTTGACTATTTGCACAAGCTTTCGTTTAACTAGGTTTACTTATCATCTTTTTTTTTATGCTATCCAGGAGCTGTCATCGTCGAAGAATATTCCTATGAATTTTCACACAGCATATAAGCAGGTGGGCATTTGCAGAATACTTTTGGTCTTCCTTCTACACTTGTTTCGCTTTACTGACAGCAGCACAGCTTTGTGCATGAATAACCGATGTTGTATAGTTGCTTAATTATTTGATAGTTTTGTGTAAATTTTGATACAACGAAGCACCTTTTGTAATCAATAAAAATAATTTGTGCTTCCTGTGTATTTTAACTGATACTGCTCACTACTCTTGGATTGTACGTTTGTGAGCTCAAAGCCCAGATATTGTGCGTGTCAGTAATTCTTGTTGGCACTTCTTGTTGCCGCCTTCCGTCTCCTTTGTAGATAGCTGACCTCATACCAAAGGACGCAGTCATTGTGAACGAAGGTGCCAACACGATGGACATTGGAAGGACGATGTTGCCTAACTTCTTGCCACGGCATAGGTGTGTCTGTGCATATTTCGATTCAATGGTGCGCTTTAGCATGTTCGACAGTATCTTTAGCATTTTGGTACGTAATGCACCATGAGTACGATACAGCAGTACTTGCTCTAAACTCTTCACCAAGTCTGCAAACTTTCCTTTTTTATTCACGGCACTAATATTCTTTTCTTCCTATTCATTGCCATTATTGTCCATCAATGATTTGCTTAATGCTGTTTTATTTTTCCCTAGTGCTGATTAACACACACAGGGCTTTCTTAAAATTTTAATATGTTTTTACAGTGAGCATTTGATATTACTAATTAGCTGTCTGTTTGTGATTGCTGTCTCTCAGTTGAAGGGGTACTGATACAAAATTCCAGCCGCTGAGATGCCTACCGGATCAATTCCTGTGAACATGCATACAGTTGAACCCAGCTACAGCGAACATTGCTTCAACGAAATTTCCGCTACAACGAAAAATTCACGGTTTCCCGTCAGCAGTTCATAGGAGTCAATGCTTAAATATTGTCGCCACAACGAACAATTTTTCTTCTGCTGTCCCACTTCAATGAAATTTCACGATGAAATTCCAGGCTCAGATATTTATTGCTATACAATAACACAATCTTGAACATTTTGATGCATCTTCCGAACCTGAAAATACGTTGACGAAGTCTAAAACACGCGCTGGCACCACCAGAAACCGCCGCTGTTCAGCAAGCATAGGCGCCGCCATTGCTCAATAGTGATCGCAATAAAACTGCCCTGCTTTTTCCACTAGCTTGCTTTTGAGCTGCAGACGATCCGAAGCTGAAGATCAGTCGCTAGGTTCAAGGTTTTTTTTTTCAGGCAGCTGTGAGAAATGATGCCTTTTTTGATGCCAATGCGTATCATTTGATTCACGCTTGGTCATTCTGGTAAATAATCAGAGTGGCTGTTCGTCCACATTAACAAGGTCAGCTAGCGGCGAGTGGTGGATGATAAGAATGGCATAGAATAAGGCAAAAGTCACCGCTCTACGATACTTTGCCTCCATCTCGGTGTTGTCGGATACACTTGGACGGCGGACAGCTGCTGGTGTTAAGGTGTCAATGTAACTGTTTGGTTCATTCACAAAAGCGGTTATAGGTGTTGTTTCAGCGTACTTTTCACCATGGCCTTGCAATGCATGGGGGAGAATAGTGTTGTGACTCTGCTGGGAAAGAATAGGAAGGAGCAGACACTTCTTGCATTTTGAGAATAAACGTTCTTTTGTTTTGCTAGCTAAGATCAGCTATATTTTTTCGATTTCACTACAAGGAAATTTATTCCGCGCCCATCAGTTTCATTGTAGCGGGGTTCGACTATATCATCTGCAAAATGTTAACAGCGGACATAGCTTAGAATGTATTTTACATGAATTTTGATGTTCGTGTGCGTCATCGAGCAAAATGACCCACAGTGAACCCTACTTCCCTCACGTCACCACGCTGCAGTCAGTACAACATGTTATGAAATACAACATGTTGTGGTAACGTCATAGCTGCCATTTTTCTTTTTGCTGCGTTGCTCTAGCAGACTTTCTCAGCGTCTGCTTGCCAGTCAGTTGCTGAAGAGCATGCCTTGAAAGTTTTGGGTTTGGCAACACTGCTGTCCCGTTTACAGTTTGAGCGGACTTCTTGATGCATACCGTTTGTAAATGTGTCACCGTTCTTTGTGCTAACGAAGTCGAGCATTGCACACCCTATGTAGTGACAGTGCCACCCGGTGGCTTGTCATTTCGAAGCTTTTTCAAACTAAAACTGAGAGTGGTTGGTAATAGGAAGCTTGTAATTAATTATATGTGGCATGCTGCATCAAGCAATGTGCAGTGTTATGACTGACAGACCCCCAGCAACACATTGCAGCAAAAAAAAAATATGCGAGGGCGAAATTTTTGTGTCAGAATTTCTACGAATATCGTAAGCACTAACAATAGTTAATAAATTCATTTTGTGCCATAAAACTCTAGTTCTGCAGATCACACGTACCTTGGGAATCGACTTTACGCAAAGCATGCGGATGGAAGGTTACTGTGCTGTAACTTTAATTGAGCGAAACGTTACGAAGTGACATTGAAGATATATACAAGTGCAAGCACAGACACATGCTAAACAGCCGTACAGGTTTTTTATAGTGAGTTGTTTACAGCTGCATAACGATGCCAACAGCATCATGGATATTAGCAACACCAGAAGCTAATATGAAGTGCTGGTGCTTGCGAGGATGGTAACCCTGGACACTGCTACATAAATCAACTTCTGCGCATGGCACCTATATAGATGTACAATTGACGTTAGCCCGACGTAATGACTGTATCATATAAGTATATACGTAAAGTTTATAAAATTGGATAGCCAGCACTGCAACCACAAGTGATGTTTCACGAACATTAGAATCTATTTGAAAAGTAGTTCCGAGACCTTGCGTGGCTCTGTGGTAGAATGCTTGATTGCCACACAGAATACTTAGGTTCGATTCCTGCTGGGGCCCTGTCATCTATTTATTTATTTATTTATTTATTTATTTATTTATTTATAATATCCTCAGGGCCAAATGGCATTACAGAGGGGAGTGGATTACATTGAATAACACATGGTACATGGTGGGGAGGGAAAAATACAGCGTTAGTACGAATATAAGCAAAAGTCAGCGTACAAACAAAATACATTAAATAGGTCCTGCGTATACAATGTTAGCTACGGTATCACGAAAAAGATGGTTGTCATTAATAGCAACAATTTCAGGGGGAAGGTGGTTCCACTCGCGAGAAGAACGAGGCAGGAACGACTGCGCAGCTGTGTTAGTACGATAGGTGATAATTCCAACCTTGTGACGGTGATCGACACGGTTGGAAAAATACTGGGGTTGCAAAATAAGTTCGTTGCGCAAGATAGGGTGGTGATACAATTTATGAAAAGTTGATAGGCGGGAAACTTTTCTTCGAAGTGACAGGGTAGGCAGGGACAGATTATTTTTCATTGTAGATATACTGGCAGGGCGATTGTAGTTCGATAATATGAAGCGTGTGGAATTATTCTGAACTAGCTCAAGCGATGTAATTAAATTAATGTGGCTGGGATCCCAAATCGAAGAAGCATATTCTAGTTTAGGTCGTATTAATGTTTTGTACAGGGCTAATTTCAATGAAGATGGAGCTTTGGAAAAGTTACGGCGTAGGTACCCAAGCGTACGGTTAGCTTTGTTGATTATTTGTTCGGCGTGCATTGCCCAAGAGAGATTGGATGTTATGTGGACGCCTAAGTACTTGTACGAGTTAGTAGATTCAAGAGGTATGTCGTTTAAGTAGTAAGTAAATTGACTGCAAACACTGCGGGACACGCGCATGACTTTACATTTGTTTATGTTCAATTCCATTAACCATGTACGGCACCAGTTATCAACAGTGTTAAGGTCTGATTGAAGAGTACACGAATCAATTATGTTATTTACCTCTCGAAAAATAACGCAATCATCAGCAAATAAATGAATTCTGGATTTAATGTGGCAGGGGAGGTCATTAATATAAATTAGAAATAAGAGAGGCCCAATTACCGATCCCTGAGGAACGCCGGAGTGTACTTCAGTAAAACAAGAATTATACCCGTTAGCGTAAACAAATTGTGAGCGATTTGTGAGAAAACATTCAATCCATTTAAACATGTTATGATCAGGTTTCAGTTGGCTTAGTTTGTGAAGTAAAAGTTTATGACATACCTTATCAAATGCTTTGGAAAAATCCAAAAAGATGCAATCAGCTTGTGATGAGTTGTCCAAAATGCGGTGTAATCTGTTAGTAAATGATACCAGTTGTGTATCACAGGAGTATGATTTACGAAAGCCGTGCTGAGATGATGTGAAGAAGGAATTACTTTCAAGAAAATTTACAAGGTTTGTGAATATGATGTGCTCTAATAGCTTACAGCACGTACTGGTAAGGGAAATGGGATGATAATTAGCAGGAAAACTTTTACTACCAGATTTATGAATAGGAACTATTTTCCCGATTTTCCATTCAGATGGGAGAGTAGAAGTGTCGAGTGATTGTTGGAATATCTTGGCTAATATGATGGAACTAATTTCTACAGTATTTCTTAAAAATTTACTATTAATCTAATCATAACCAGGGGAAGAATGGTTGCTTAATTTGTTGATAAGGGAAGCGATACCAGAAATGTCTACTAAAATTGGTGGCATGGGGAGGTGATTGTAGCAAAAGGGGGAAGGAAGTGGAACATCAGATGTTTTTGTAAACTGGGCAGCAAATGTGTTGTTGAGGGCTGTTGCACACTGATTGATGGGAACTGTGTCACCGGATGAGTCTTGCAATAAGATGTAATTATCTTTTGGGGGATTGATAACGCGCCAAAACTTTTTTACATTTGTTTTTAACATTGACGGCAATACATTAGAGACGAAGTTATCTTTAGCTTGTTTGAGTGCCCTGACGTAAATACTAGATGCGGTATTATAAGCGGCCCATCGTTCGTTAGTTGGCGAGCGCTTAGCTGAACGATAAAGGTGTTTTTTCTTGTTAGACAGGCGTTTGATAGTGGTATTATACCATGGCGATTGTGAGTGACTAGCAATAGTGTAGGTTGGTATGTGCTTTACGGTGAGGCGATGAACTTCGGCAGCAAACATATCCCAGTTAGACTGAACGGAACGGTTGTTAAAATCGGTCAGAAAGACGTCAGTAAATTCAGATAATTCACGATTGATAGTGTGACGGAGCGAGGTCTTGGCTTACAGGACAGCGTCCACCGAGAGTCGACAGCCGAACAAGATGTCTGAGTTGCCTCTCGTGCAAGCGCCTAACGCACAGGCGTCTTCTTCATCTTCGCTAAGTGCCACGCTTGCTCCTGTCGATGATGCACCGTAACATCACTCCCCTGCGGCGGAAGCGCCGTCACGGCGCTTAGTATGGCGGCGACGAACGAGGAGGGTGATATGGTTTCAGTCTGGAAATGTGTACAACGTCTGTCTGGAGTGAGGTGGTC